TAAATTAAATGCTTCAGGCTCAGCCTTCCATAATTCCCTTCACTAATCCCATTAATCTCCTCGTTCTCTGGGTGAGAAGATGCCAAGAAACACCTTTAGAAGGAATTCAGGAGGACACATGAAGCTGAAGTTTCTAAAACCTGCCCGTGCTGAGCTTTTTCTCAACATAAAACCCTGAAATTCCAGGGCAGAAATTCCAACTCCATCCCCTCCATTTCATCCCTGAAGAGACAAAACCCCCCTGGAATAAAGGAACTAAGAGTGGAGATGTCTCCAAAATTTTATATTTGAGGGGATTCCCCATTTTTCTCTGAGGCTTTTCCAGCCTCAGGGATGGGAATTTTCCAGTCTTTTCCTCCCTTAACTTTTTTTTTTAAAGCTTGAGAAACGAAATAATTCAATTAGATTTGAAACCCTCGTGACTCTTTAATCTGTTGGGTTGGAAAAAAAATAACATAAAATTTAGCAGTAAAAGCTTTTCTTTTTATGGTTATTCCTTAAACTGGATTTACATTCCTGGCCCTTGAACTGCTCTAAAATATTCCAGGCAATGAGGATGAGGCAGAAATTTCCCGGAATTCTGAATTTCAGGCTCCCAAAGAAGCTTAAAAACACTTCGAGCTTCGCTTAAACCACTACTTTGGGTAACTACAACCCAAAGATCTACATAAAATAATACATTTTAGGCCTTATTTGGGGGAGATATTTTATCTACTGGGATCTCTTGCTCCCCCCTGGAGTTCCAGAACTAAAAGGTTTCACCCAAACTAAAGGGAAATTCTCCTGTTTGTGGCGTTTGGAGAAGGAGGAACTGAAAGGGGAGTTCTTATTTCCTCAAAAAAGTGGATTATTAGTCACATTCCACCACAAGATTCCTGAATCCACACCCAGGAAGTGGCTCAGAAATCCCTAAAAACATAAAAATTCATCATATAAAACCCCCCTTCTCCCCCTAAGGACACCAAGGTGCAGATTTAAACGAAACTGTGCTAGTCAGGATTTTATTTCAGTTGCTCCAAGCCCAATTTGACTATTTTTACTGGGAAAAAAAAACCTCAAAAGTGGATAAAATGGATAAAAAAACGTATGTTTTTCCCGATTTGTTTTTCCACATCTCTTTTTCCAGATCTTCCTCCCTGTGAAACCAAACCCACAACCCCAAATCCAACCTCAAATCTGCACCAGGACTCGGAGCACACGAGGTTCAAACTCCTGGTTCTCCCCGCGGGCATAAACCGGAGCCAAAAATGTCCTTTATTCCACGGATTTGGCCTCAAAACCAGCTTTTTTAAGTGAAATTTTCCTCGAGCAGCAACGGAATGAATTGAGAAGCAGTTAAGGCTTTTTTTTCCCACCCCAAAACGAGATTTTCTGTTGAAATTCCTGCAGCATTCCCTCGCCATGAGGGTTGTGTAACCCTTTCCCGGCACCACCTCAAACTCTCCCCCTCGAGGTATTCGCGCTCCTGAGTCACCTCACGGGTGAATCACCCCCAGAACTGCGAAAGAACGCAAAGGAATTAACTTTAAACACCACCCGCACCCCTCCGGCACCGCCTGTTCGCCCCGCGGCGGCTTTAACTCCGCTAAACCCCGGCGGAAACTCCTCCGGAGCGGGACGGGGGCGAGGAGCGCCAGGAAGCGGCTCCTCCAGAGGCGCTTTCACGGAGGAAACACCGCCCGGATCCCCCTCAGGGGCCCCGAACCAAGAACGGCCCCGCCAGGCCCGGTTCCCCCCCCACCCCTTCCCCTCAGGCCGGGCCCAGACGCGGGGAGGCCGCGCACGCGGCGCCGCCGCCCCGTCCCCCCGCTCCCTACCTCTTGGGGGGCGGCCCCCCCGCGCCGCCCGCCCCGTTGGGCGCGGGTGGAGGCGCCGCGGCGGCCGCGGAGGCCGCCGGAGGCTCCATTTTGACGGGGGCGCTTTGCGAGGCCGCCGCGGTCGCCGCCGCCATTTTCCCTGCGCGTCCCTTTGTGTGGCGCGCGCGGGGCACGACGGGAAGGCGCCGCTCCTCCCGCCCGCCAGGGGGCGAACGGCGCCGCGCGTGCGCAAAAGGGGCGACACCGCGGGGGCGGTGCCGGCGGGAAAGCGCGCGTGGCGGGCTGCGCACGCGCAATGAGGCGGCAATGGCTGCTGGGCGGGACTGGGAGCGGTGGCGCGGGATAAGCGGCGGCCCCGCTGTGCGGCGGCAACGGCCCGCGCTGGCGTAATGGTGGTTCTGCGCTGAACGGACAGGCGGTGATGGCGGCGCTCTCTGTGGGCTGCAGGCTATATTAGAGTACTGCGCATGCGCTCAGCGGCGGCGTGCTGTACGGACACGCGGTTATGGCGGCGCTCTGTGAGGAATGGCGGGAATTGAGTGCTGCGCATGCGCACTATAGGGCAACGCCGCAAGGCATG